GGGGGGGGGGGGGGGGGGGGGGGGGGGGGGGGGGGGGGGGGGGGGGGGGGGGGGGGGGGGAGTGAAAGGGGAGGTGGGCTAAGTTGACAAAACCAAGAGAGAAATATGAAGAAAAAAAACAATCGTGAAAACGGTGACAAATAAAAATTGACGATAATTTATTGAGAATTTTTTCCTTTCATCTAGTGTCAAATGTCACTCGGTGTATCGTTATGTCACATAGCTTCCAGCTGATTAGTAAACGTCTGGTATTGATTTTGGAAATGAAAAGTACGCTGGCGCGCCAGCGCGGTGTATTAATGGAATATCAGAGTGTCCTTTGATAATTACAAGAAAAATTAAAAAATCTCGAAATTTAAGTGTTAATTTTGCTGGAGTGTTTGCGAGGGGAACGGGAATCGACAAAAAATGGAGGTGACAGGAGGTTTGAAGGGGGTCAGTGCAGAACCAGGAACTTTGATAAACAATTTCTCAAGAAAATGGAAGGAATGAAAAATCATGCCCTACGGCTTCCGGTACGAAGGACTTCGACGATCCGTGAAACGTTGGCTTCTCTCTCGCTGGTTGGTTGAACGATGGAAAAAGGAGAAGGTGCACGGGTTGCCTCCATCCAAGGCCAAAAGAGGAACGGCCTGTGCTGGAGTCTTTAACGGAGTCGAGTGAATAAGAGAGACAGAACAGAGGATACCCCATACCCGACAAGCATGAGACATCTAGCAATACTCAATCACCTCGAGTCGAGAATAATCGTTTGAATTTATTATTTTCGTTAAAAACGTTGTCGAACGGAAAAATTGCACTTCTTCGGTAATAATATCGTACCTGCGCAGACGAACGGAAGTTCCTTGCCTCCGTAATTCGGCTCAACATCGTCTCCACCAAGACGAACGCTCTGCGCTAGATGTGGACACTCCATTTCTCCTCGGAAATTAATGGAAAAAAAAGAGAAAAAAAAAGGACAAAGAGGACTTCTCCCGGGGCTGACCTCCGTGTGATTGAAGCGTAGAAAAATATCAGAGGCGCACACACCAAAACCTAAACGTCCCCTCGAACGTGTGTGCGCCCGGCAGATGATTCTCTCTCACTCTTGTTCGAAAGTTCTCACGATTGTTTGGAATTAAGTGAAAATAAGGAATTTAAACTGGCGTTTTTTACGACCCGTGGGGTACGCGCACACTGGGTGCCCCGTAATATCTGTCACATAGCAAAATGCGGGGGCAACACTGGATTCGCCTACAAAGGAAGGGACGCGAACGAGGGGGGATTGTTAAACTCAGTGCGCAGCAGCACTAGACGGTTTTATTTGTACTTTCCTTCTGGTTTATTAACACAACACTAAATTCATACACTTGGGTCTACTCTGAAATATAATGGATGATTGAAAAGTCACAGAGAGGTCGAGCGATCGAATTTCAGTTTTTTTTGGGTTTTCGGGGGCTTTTATTTCTCGGTGATTGTTGGTCACCGGATGTTTATGTGGGTCTTGGGATTTTCTTTATGGTTTTGGTGATTGTTCACCAGTGGTGGGACGTGTCTTTGGATCGCTAGAATCGGTACTGAATGATCTAATTGCACGAGAGTCCTAGACCTCCGATCGTGATCGTCGGGTTGGACTGGGTCCACTGGAATGATGATCGGAGAGCTAGGTCAGTTTACATCTGCGCATGCGCGGGGGAAGGAGGGAGGTGTGTGAAGGTGGCTGAGAGTTTCAGGGGTGAAGTTGTGGGAGCAGAGGCCCGAATTTTTTGAGGTTTTTTTTTATAAAGGAACATTCTTTTTAAAGAAATTAATTTTTTTTGTGAAGGTGGAGGGATGAGGGTGGGCGGGGCAAAATAGTCAGTTTTTTATTTCATTTTCCGAAATCGGAAACAAATTTATCAATTCAATTCAGTAGTGAAGTGGTAAACGGAGATAAGTCGACTTATCTTCCAGTTGAGTTTTTGAGGAATATTTCCGAATCTAAGGGAGATAGCGAAATTTTTGTAATTACATTTGTTGTAGTATTCAATCGGCTCCACAAAAAAAGTTATAACAAAAATTTTGCTATCTTCCGTAGATTCCGAGATATCGATTGAAAACTGGTCAATGCGCGCTCAAAATTGACTTATCTCCTTTTACGACTTCGCTGCTGAATTGGATTTCTTATGAAAAAGAATGCTCCGATTTGATCAACAATTGAATTATTTACTAAAATTTCAAGGAACTATAAAGTGTCCATTTTGTTCCATACGCTCCTAATGGTGAATTTTTGGTTGAAGGGGTCGAATATATTGCACTGCAAAATGTCTTCAAGTCACTCATTAAGGTGTCTGGTGTGAAAAGTCAAAATAATGAAAAAAAAGAAAAATTCATGGGAGAAATGTCTGAGTATGCTACTTCATTCAGGATTTTTACACATTTTTTCAGATGTCAGTCTCAAGAAAAAAAATAATAAAATTTTGATGTTTTTGTAACCCTTCAGCTATAACCTTCGAGGTTACCCTACTCTCAATTAGGGAAATATCCATGGCACCTAAAAAAATAATGAACTATTAAAGAAAAACTAGTGGGTGATAAATCAAATCTTTTTTGAGAACACGTATAAGTTTCAGATTTTTTTCAGATTTTATAAGAAAATTATTTGAACAAATGATTCGAAAAATTATGAGTTTCGGAGCTATTACGCCTACACGCGCAGGCGCGTGATTCGAATTATCAGTGAACATCATGGGAAAGGTATGGGTTGGACCATGGAACTGCCAGAGAGAGACCACTCAAGTTTACCAACTCGAGACGCATTTTAATATTGTTTCAATAATTAGAAATAACATCCTATAAACATTATTTGACACCTGTAGCTGATGAGAAAAAAATCAATCAGTCTGATAAATAAGATTAATATTCAAAAAATATTCAAATGCGCACTTAAATAGTTACTTGAAAATTATTCGTGCTCAGGGCTTGAGAACAATAAGACTCCCTTTCCGTTTCAAACCCTTGACGATTGACACACGAAACACCTTAAGGATGTCCAAATATCTTTTACAGTTTGGTACAGACCACACTATAGATTCAACTATTTTCAATTAATCAATTTTATCAATTAAATTGCATGAGAAAAATTTAAACAAAATCATGAATATTCAGCATCATTAAAGTTACATTTTGCACAGAATTATGTTTTTCAACATTCGTTGTTTATAAATGAACAATTGAAATTGTTTAAACTTTTGGAAACATAATTTTCTAGGCATGAAATTGATTTCTAGTAAAATTCTGAATGCAAATAAATTTGTTACGACTCCGAACAAATGATTTTTGTGGTGGAAAATTAATTGTTTATAAATTATTTATACAAAATGCTCGTAACTTTAAAAAATTGCAATTTTTCAATTATTTCATCAATCATCTTCCAAAAGTATCCAATTTTTTTCAAATTTTTAAAATGTTCTCTAACAGTTTAATATCGAGATTCAAATTTAGACCTGCCAAGTTTAAATAATAAAATCATTGTAAAATGGTACTCAAATGAAAGCTCTGATGTTCGTCTACAAAAGTAGAAAAGCATTTCACTGGAGAAAAAATAGCCAAAGTCCTTGAATATCCTTAAAAATCGCTGTTGAGTTAACAATTTTATAAAAATTGTACTTTTAGAAAAAAAAATATTTTTGTGTCAAAAAATCACATTTTCAGAGAGGGAGAGGAGACGATGATTTTTGATAATTAAAGTGAAGGATTTTTGTCAGATACTTGATGTTTTTATTGGAAAGAGAGATGTGGAACTGACAGGTATCTGTTTTTTCTATTTTTTAAAAGGTTTATTTTTATTTAATAGAAAATTCAGTTTCGCCTGTTGAACTGGTGGGTAGCTGGCTGAACAAGTTGAAGAACAGAGATATTACTGAACTCCAGCATCTTGAGCATCTCCTTGGTCTCGGGGTCAACCTCGATGACGTCGTGCTCAAGGGCAGATACTTCAGGTACGTAATTGTCCCTGCGCTCTCTCTCCTCTTCTTGGAGCTTGATGGAGATACCACGTACTTGGCTGTGGCGAAGGCGCTTCATCAAGTGCGTGACAAACCTAATTAACAATTAATTTGTGAAATAAAAATTAATGGGGAAGAATTAATTGACAAAAAAAAATTCTCAGAATGAGAAGTCCTGAATTTAAATTTACATTTTGCGATATTTCAGGAGTGGATGTCATTTTCTATACTTCTTCCAGGCAATATTAGGTCATCGAGAAGCAAACAAAAAAGACAAACACAAAAATGGAAATTTTCCCTCCTTTTCGAGTGCTGTACAAGGAGGAGGATATCATTATTTTGGTGTGAAACTAGTTTCTCGAACAAGAAAAGGTCATTGAAAAAATTCCCTGTATCACTTGAATTCTAATATATTCAATTGTGAGACTGAATCGACTAATTCGTTAAAATTTTTATGCAATTTTCTTTGTGCAGAAAAGATCTTCCATGAATAGTTCAATAGATTCAATATATTTGTCAATATTTATCGAAAAATTATTTTTATCACGCTGTGCGAAAAAGTAACTTTTTAGGCACGCTTCGCGTGCCAAAAACGTCCCTTTTTCACACATGGTGATGAAAAATGTCGTTCGATACTCATGGGAAAAGTGTTTTTGGCTCGTGGGATTATATCACTCGCCTTCGACTCGTACTATAAACCTCCCACGAGCCAAAAAACTCTTTTCCGCACTCGAAATATACTATTTCTCTGAAGTCCAATAAATTCATCAATCAAACTAACAGGAGTTTTTCGTAAATATCCCTAAATTCCTGATTGAGACGATTTGATACTGTACAAAAGAACTATAATCTAGGCTAAAGGCCCTGCGGTAATGGTCGTTCGTAAAAATGTATGTTACTTGCTATAAATAACGTTAAAATTTTTAAAAAATTATCCTTAAATAGAATAAAGATATTGAAATTTTCATTCAATGTTGTTTGTAGAATAAAGTATAGGCTGCAAAAATTTTGAATCAGAGATAGGTAAAATGAACCCAATGAAATCATTAATATTTACTGACTCAATGATATGATTTAGAGACAAAGTAAGTATTTTTTTGGAATTTAAAAATACTTTCGAAATGTGAAACAAATCGTTTAGTTAATAGATGATTGAAAATGGTTCATTCCATGTCCCTCTCCTCTGTTAATAAAAAATAATATTTTCTCTAGTTGAAAGCAGCAATTCAACGATTTTTTAAAAATATCTTGAAATTAAACAGAGATATCGCATTTTTCCTGAAGACATCCCAAAGATATTTATTAAAAATCCTTCTGAAACCTATTAAATAACCAAAAATTTGAACCACTTCACTATGACATTGTTGAAAAGCTGCGAATGCAATTGAAAAATTTAAATAAAGTTCTATTGTAGAGAATGGAAAAGATGCCGTTTGAAGTACATAACCTCTAAATTTCCACGATCATTGTCAATTTTTGTGGATAAAAAACACTTTACTCGAAGTACTTACCCAGCAATTTTGTTCTTGAGAGGTTTGCTAGGAATAATAGCGATTTCCTCGCATATTCTCTTGTTGGTATCAAAATCGAGAGTCAATCGAGTGTAGTACTTCTCGATGATGACCCTGGCGGCCTTCTTGATAGTCTTGGTCCTGACACGACCCTAAAACATCGAGAAATCTGCGTAAATAAATGGACTACTCACTGATTGATTCAAACAAATCTTGCAGCACAAATTCCTATGTTGATTTTTTAAATATTTCGAGATTAAAAAAAGACATGATTGATTGTATTAACCACAAAATTTCTACATCAACACAGAACTATACATATCAATTTTGAACGCAGGTTATATCCCCAAAAATCAAACACAATCCCTCAATATATGTTTGAAAATGTCGTCCGGATCCTCCAGAATTGATGCCAAATAATAATTGAACAATTTATGAAGGGATTCCGTCATAAAAAATCGATTATTATTGAGAAATGTCAAATTATAGTACACACCATGTTTGCTGGTGTACCGGAAAAGGCACGTACGAAACTGGAAGAGGAACACTACCGCTTCCGCGTGATAGTGTTCGTGTTTAGAACAAACCTAAGCCCTCTATAAGTGAAATCTACTTTATCAACTGCCGGAGGAATTTTCAATATCTCGAGGAGATGTCACTACCGGGATATTTACTGTCATCAACCCTCGGAGAACTCCCCTATTTTCAAATTGATAATTTTGGTGATTAGAAGTGACCTTTTATTACTTTTTTAATTGTTTGGGAATTATTTCTTGGAGGTAGAAAGAAAAAAGGTGAGTTTTGAGTGGTTTTTCTCTTGAGATTTATAATGATTGAAATGAATAGCTTGTGACACGCCAAAAAATGATAAAGACATTGATAGAGATGTGTTAAAACTACATTAATGTCATCAATTGCGATATTTAATAATTTTTTGAACACTTCTGTTTGTTACTGTAGTTACGTAACCTAATACTCTTGATGTTCTGATTACAGAAATAAAATAAATAGAATGGTATATAAATAATAATATGAATAAAATAAATAAAATAAAAGATGAAGACATTGATGGCATGTTTTTCAACAGGTGCAACCGTGTTTCTCTTGCATTTTTAGAACATAGATTTTTTTCCAGAGGTCTATAAAAATCCGGCTAAACTGAATTAATATATCAAACCTAAGGAAATACTGGAATTAGTATTGTTTGAAATTTCTTTTAGAAATTCAGAACTTTTTTTCGAATAAGTCACTTTATCGCCTCATATTTGTGCCAGTTTGTTTAGTCATATGAATCATAAATTTGTCTGCAGCTGAAAATTCTCAACTAATACTTTTATTATGTCTCGCAAACTCAATGTATTCCGATTGATTGAAGAGAGAACTTGTCAAATTCATCAAAGTACACTGAAGATAGGTCATTCCTGCACTCCTGAATTATATTTTATGTCAATTTTTATTTTAGTCCTACTGTAATCATCCTCATTAGTAATGTAGTTTATGATATAATTCATTGTGATACTGGACTCTCATAAATATAGAACACGGGAAAACGTTGTTTAATAAATTATATTATTAATAATTTTTATATCGGTGTTCATTATCCAGTTAAGCGAGGTACCTGGTTCATTTTCGTGACGGTTCTCAATCGTCCCGCTCAGTACTGATATCTGATTGCCTCATTAGGACGAGCGTCGGGGAGTAGGAAATATTGAAGGGGGTGAAGAAAGCAAGAGGGGAATTATGCAAACAGTTCAATCGTACGGTGCAAAAAGTATACAAACTGCTAGGTTTTACTGAAGTATATCTCAGGACGAGTGCCATGGAGTTTTGGGAAAAAGGCTTTATGGTTCCTTATCGACAGTCGTGCCATCTATTGGAATTCTAGAGCATTCTAGATTTTTCTATAAAATTATAGATTTTTCTAGTGAATTCCAGATTTTTATGGCAAATATTAAATTTTTCTAGAAAATTCGAGAAAATTCTCCAGTTTTTTAAAGAAATAAATTATAATTTTGAGGGATCCTTAGCGCTGGTCGGTAATATACCGACAGTTGGTTATTGTTGCACGAAATAGATAAAATTTGTGGATCCGTGTTAAAATTTGCAAGGGTGTTTGTAAACAATTCAATCGTATCGTGATTATAAAAAACGTCTTATTATGATGGGACGGTGCGAAATCCCTGCTTGTTCTCATATACCTATATCGTAAATGTATACAATGAAAAACTATGATGTTCAGCTACCCGCAGATTTTTCTTACGCGCGTGGGGTTGCCAACCATGTGAGGAAATAAATCCACAATAAAAATCAAAATGATGAATATCAGTTTCGTAACATCGTCCAACATTTTCAAATTGAAATATTACTCTATATCCGAAGTTGGGAAACAGTTCCTGAATAGATGAATGGAACACTCTGTATTTTATTTATTTTTCATTTTTGCATTGCAGTGAATAAAATCTAGAATAATGTAAAATAAAATCATGCACAGCAACTGCTTGGTATACTGATAGATTTTTTAAATTTCATCTACAAAGCTCCAAAAATATAACCCCCCATTGTTACAAAAAAAATCATATTTTTTCTACAAATGAATTACTGCAAATTTGCAAAACCCTTAATCCCTGCATTACGATCCTCTGCTTTTAGACATGACTATAAACGGAAACCACTGTATAAATCAAATGTTGCTCGAGGACATCTGATAAAATGTTTCTAATAATAATAACCAAATGTTCATGCTATGAAAGGACCTGAAAACCCGGTCGAAATGAAATTACAATTCCCCCAGGATTGACAACAAATTCCTCTCCACCCGACCCTTAAAAAATCTACCCCTCACGTGTCGCACATGCGCACTGCGGCCGCGCATGCGCACCCCATTCCGTAGACTCCGCTCGACCCGAAACGTTGATTTCCCCACAATCCGTCAAAACACACCATTTAATCTCTCAAAACCTCCCAAAAAAGCCCTCTACCAATCTCAAAAGACCCGAAAACCCATAATCGCGCCCGACCAATCAGTCTCAACCTCCCTTCCCTCAAAAGTACCGTATCATCGATAAAAAAGATAACGGCGAGTGTAACGAGGATTCCCTCAACACCGGTGACGACAGACAAATCGGGCTATGCCGGCCAAGTGGGGGAGCAGTGAGAGGGCGCGAGTGACGAGACGCAGTTGGGACGTGGGGGGGAGTATCACTGGTGGGATAGAAAGGAAATAGCGTGGGATCCGCGGGCCAACAGTAGGGATAAAGTTGGGGAGGGGGTAGTGCCGAGAAAAAGAGGTTTGTTTATCGTTGATGGTGAAGGAGCCAGTCAGTGCGGTGCTTTCGTCCATGCACGGTCGGACGGGCGCACGCTCTCTTTCGTTCCTTTTTAGCCAAAAAAAAAAAAAGAAGAAGCAATCTCGGTTGAGTCAAAACACTATCACAGTTAAACCGCGTGTCGCATCCGCCGTGAAACATACTCGTGAAGTTCATACATGTTTTTTTTTTAATTTTAAAATCCAAGTGTCGTTCTAGTGATGATGAAAATTTCAATGAATCTCCCAACGTGCTAAATATCAAATTGAATTTATCACTTGTGTGTAATCGCCGGTATTGACCTCAACTCAAGGATCAAATGATTTCGGTGATGATTATACCGGTGATGTTAACGTGACAATAGTGGATTATTATACCCGGAGATCATTTTGCACGTCGGGAAATTATATTTTATGGACTTTCAACTGCGGAAATTAACAAGGTGTCGTGTATGTCGGTGAGTAGATGTAATTAGCATGATAATAAATATCTGGGAAATGTGATTGAGGGTAATTGAGGGTTTTGTCGTTGTTGAGGGTTACGAGGGAGGTTATGTGATTTTTTCAGTGGGATTTGAGTTGTGAATTTTTTTCAAACGCAATGGAAAGGGGAAATGGATGGTATTTACTGGGGACAGGGTACATGGTGGACGTATGGTTGACGGGACAGCTGGGTCACTGCACCACGAGGCTGGCCTCGACTTGAACCGTTCTCTTTACGTGTTAATATCCTTTCTGGTTAGTGTGGGTGGTGTCTGCAACTATGTCACTGCATTTTTTTTTCTTTCGATGGACTGATGTTACGGAGATAATGCACCGGGATTACCTGCGATGCGTTGCGTCATAACTTGGATTTTTGTTTTGCTGTTCTCGGTTTTTTTTTGTATTGCGTAGAGGGGATTGTGCAGCTGAGGAAGATGGTAATTCCGGGATTGTTGTTGTGAATACATTTGGTTGAGGTATGAGATCATGGCAGGATAATAAATCAATCGATTGCGGGGGATTGGCGAGGAGTAGGAAACCTCCGGAAGCAAAACAGTGGTTTGGAGTGAGGTTTGTTTTGTTTGATATTGGCGGGGGATTGATGGAAGGGAGTTCCCATGGAGAATCTTCTCGGGTTTCAGAGGAGACCTTGGTGATGGTTTTTAGCATTAGCGGTAATGTTTCGGGGGAACATAAGATTTCACGGGGTTTTCCGGCATTGGGCTCTTGTTTTGGGGAGTAGTTCGGAATGGTTGGGGTAGGGTAACCAGACCAACTGATAGGCGGTTAAGGACCACATTGTTAAAAATTTTAGTTTGAATTTTTCGTGTCAAATCCAGGAAATTTTTATCATGTTCAATTTCCACTGAAACTTGAGGAAATCTCGTGATTGAAACATCAAATATTCCATAGATTTTTAGTTTGAATTATCAGAAAATCAATAGAATACTTGATTTTTCAGTTCAATTATTCCTTGAAAATTCGGAAAAATCCGGAAAATTCAAGGAAAATTTGAAAGTTCATATCATTTTATTTCTGAATATTCATGTTTCATTTAAAATTCTCTCAAGCTGTGACATTTCCATTTCACTTTCACAGAAAACTCATGAATTTCCTTGAATTCTAAGTAAAACTTGAAATTTTATAACCATTTTCCTCCTAAATCAGAGTCAATGTCACTTTCATGAGAATTGCTACCAGATTTGCCATGAAATTTCAAAAAATTTCTAACAGTGAATTTCAGGTCCGTAAAGAGATCAAAAATTGATAAATTACCTAAATACGCCAACGGTGAGTTCTTTACCTGAAAAAATATATAAATTATGGGAAAATGATGATTTCAAGTGGGAACAATGAAGGAATAAATGATAAAACGACGAAAAAGTGAGATACAGCCCAAACATCCAATAGACAGACGACTGACGAGAAGATATACGGTGGGTTACCAATAGATAGGTCATATTTAATGGTTTTTCAAAAAAATTCATCCTTCTGCATGTTTAAAAATGAAGAATGATCCTTTTCGATAACAATAATCGAACAGATGCCGTGTTCATTAGTCCTGATGACTGTTTTTCCACATTTGTTCTGTCAACACTGCGTGACTGTTGTCTAACAGTTAGACTCTAACTACTCACACCGCCACTGAGGGCCGGTACTCTCGCGAGAATGTTTTTTTTACGTTCAAAATGTTCATCAATAAAAAATAAGAAAATCATCGTATTATGATACATTAGTTTTATTATTACAAATGAAAATTTGCAATACAATTTCTATTATATATTGTGCATAGATTACAAAAAAAAAGTTCAGATCGTCTATCTTTTCATGAAAAAATTTCGTGAAGCGAATTTTGTTTGTTTTCAATTTCATGAATTGTTTTGTTTTCGTGAGTTTTCGGGGCAGAATGGGCTTCTGAGTGATAGATAACGTCGGATTTATTTTCCCAGTTCATACAATATTGCTCGGGATACTTGCGGAAATGTTCAATAACGAAAGTTGTACGACTCTTAAACGCGAAGCGATTGTTCTGGCTGGAGTTTCGAAGTTGGTGAGGTAAAATGGGTTCTTAAGCAGAAGATTCTGTGAGATTTTGTCAGCTTGAAAATGACACTGGTTACCAAAATATCGATGAAAAAAATTCAAAGGAAAGAAAATTGCTTTATTTGTAAAAATGTAGTGATCGTTTTGGTTGATATTTTCGAGGCTAGTGAGGTAAAAAAAGGTTTTGAATGGTAAATTTGACATTGGATTTGTTGGATTATCTCTGATAGGGTTTGAGATATTTTCAGAAAGCTCTAACAATAGCAATTGCACTGTTTTTCTGAGTGAAGCGATTTTTTTTGTATTCATGCAGCTAGTGGAGCAAAATGGGTTTTCGACCAGTAGATTTCATCGGAAAATCTTTCACCTCCAAGACGGCATCGAAACCATTGATTAATCCTCAATAGTTCTCGCGATATTCGCGAAAAATATAGGATGAAAATTACATTATTTTCAAACTCATATTTTTTCTCTATTTCTTCTTATTCCCTGCAATTTTTATTCTCCTGCCTCGTGGTACATAGTTGCAACACGTGTTGATTCGGTACAACATTGTTCATTCCCTCGGTTACTTGGTAACGCTGAGTGAGGGATCATATCCCCACGATGAGAAGGGGAACGAGAGACTGAATTACCCAAGGTGAATTTAAACGATTGAAATATAAACGTTGTTGAATTGATTGTCCAGAGGCTGGTGGAGAGGTTAAACCGGAGAATAAACAGAGACAAATAACCGACTAGACACGAATCTTGGTCGCTTTCGCGTTCGACCTCGTCTCGCCCATTCACTGTCTCTCTCGATCTGCTGTATTCACTCTTTCGTTTCTCGTCGACTGCTTCTATCTCACTCGCGTCTCGATAGCGCTGTCTTATTCTTCTCATCGTTTCTCTTTCGTACGCATCAGCTGACAGTCATGATACCCTCGGCGACTTTCACCTTCTCCTCCTTCGGAGTCTACTGTGAATTAAAGAGGAGAAATGATTTTTTTTTCTTGTATCTCGACAATTTTTTTTGCCGAGGGAATCAAATGCGGATATGACGCCCGTGCTGATTCGCAAGTCCTAAAAATAATTTTATTATTCATGACGACCAGATGTGGCGGTATAAAGATTAATTACTCGGAACTTTTTATAAATTTTTTTATAGTGTTTCTTCATTCAGGAATTGATTGACTGGAATTTACTCCAATTGTGTTCTAGCATTGTCGACATTTTCGTTACTGATGTCATGAGAACTTGTGGGGCAAACTGGGTTCATGCGGTTTTCATCGGAAATTTTTTCTGGTTTCAAATGGCAGATGATTCATGGCGTTATCACTAATAGGGTGAACAGTCCAATTGCGGGACTCCCCCCCAATTAACGGAACCCTTGAATATTTTGCCAGATTTCTGGAATATTTATCTATCATGATATGAGATTATATTTGGTGGTCTGTCTGCCGTTTCCTGATCAATAATGTAAATAATTACATAATGTGTTTTTTTTTCATTACATAATCTGTTTTTGCTTCCGAATGGAAGGTTTGTAATCGTGATTTTTTTCGATTTCTTAATTTCGGGTGGAAATGCCTAGAAATGTCATGAAACGTGAAGAAATGGTGCTTTTAAAAAATGTCTATATGTGTAAGTATGTGTGTGTACATGTGTGTTCGTATGTTCAGAAGTGTCCCCATAACTCGAGAATTATTGAGGCAAAGATGCTGAAATTCTGGCTGCTAATTTGTACTACTAAGACTCAAATTTGTGCTAAATTTCAGCTCGATCGGTTGAGCAGTTCCTGAGATATAGCGATTCTTCGAAAATCGTTTTTTGTCGATATCTCCTGAACCATTCGACCGATTCGATTTTTTTTTTCAAAATACTCGTCATGATGATACCTATTTAATTGGATTGGAAAAAGACCATTACACCCTGAGCAATGTAGTTTTATTCTCGTTTTTGCTTCCGAATGGAAGCTTTGTAATCGCAATTTTTTTCGATTCTCTAATTTTGCTTGGATATGACTCAGGGTGATCTGAAACGNTTTTTCTATTTTTTCACTTTTTTCAAAAAATCGCTTGTATCCACGATAACTCAAAAAATAATTGAGATAAAAACTTCAAACTTTGTATGATTATAGCGCCGTTGGTAACGAAGGCTGGTATTGTCGGTGGGTGAAATCGGCCCAGTAGTTCATGAGATATTTAACTTTATAATCCAAAATTCTTCCTTTAATATCTTAAAAACTACTGGACCAAATGCATTCTGTTTGCTCTCAAAATTTTCGTCTCAGTGGTGGANTTGTGCTAAATTTCAGCTCGATCGGTTGAGCAGTTCCTGAGATATAGCGATTCTTCGAAAATCGTTTTTTGTCGATATCTCCTGAACCATTCGACCGATTCGATTTTTTTTTTCAAAATACTCGTCATGATGATACCTATTTAATTGGATTGGAAAAAGACCATTACACCCTGAGCAATGTAGTTTTATTCTCGTTTTTGCTTCCGAATGGAAGCTTTGTAATCGCAATTTTTTTCGATTCTCTAATTTTGCTTGGATATGACTCAGGGTGATCTGAAACGTCGACATTTGATATTTTTAGCAAATGTATGTATGTATG